GCACACGCGCCCAGTGTGAGTTTAAGCCACCGGGTCCAGGATGCGAACTGCGGTCGACTACATGGGAGTCCAGCGACATAGCCATTATGCTAACTGCTGGTTCCCTTTCCTTGTTTTCTTTCTCTGTCTCTCTTTGGTGAGTTCACGTGACCTATAGCAAATTAAAATAATAATAATAAATAAAGTAAAATAAATCATTCTTAATAAGTAAATAAATTTGAGAAGCTCTGCTTATGAGCTTCTGTCTAGAAACACTTTTCAACTATAGTTGAACAAATTTAGCATGAGTCTTTGATATTTACTTAAATTGATTTTTTTTTTTTTGGAGAGGTTTTTGCTATAGGGCGCATGTGCTCGCCAGACAGACAGAGACAGAGAGACAGAAAGCGAGAAATCACCCCCCAGGTGGGATGGCCACACTGCAATCCCTTCTCCTCCATTCTCCTCTCGGGATCTTGCGCATGCACGCACACGCGCCCGGCGTGAGTTTTAAGCTACCGGGTTCGGGACACAAACCGCGGTCGACTACGTGGGAGTCCAGCGACACAGCCATTACGCCAACTGCTGGTCCCAACTTAAATTGAATTTAATGGGACCTACTGTGTATAAGCACTTGGTTAGGTGTTGTGGCTGAAAGATGAGTACTATGGGCCCCGGGTTTAGACGGGGCAGGCCATGACAGACAGACAAGAAGCAACTAACTAGAAATGGATACTGACTGCGTTATAGTTGAGATACACAGAAAACATTTCAGAGCACAAGCAAGAGGGAGAATTCCAGATTCATGCAGGACATCTTAAAAGGCTTGGAGAAAGACGGAGCACCTGGGGTTTTTCTAAGAAAAAGGTAGGGCAAGACTTCTGGGCAGAGATGGTTACGCCGCTGGAGATTAAGGCATGGGCAGGAAAAGGTGATAAAGCCACTGGCTGGAGTGTGCACCATGCAGCAGGGACCAGGGACAGCCAGAGACTGGAATCCCCGCTGAGTGCTCTACTGACAAGCCGTGGTTTATGCTCTGTGGCCAGGAGCTCTCCAAGGTGTTAACAGGTGAATGAGCAGGGGAATGACATGGTGAGGTTGGGGCTTACAGCCAGTCTCCACAGAAGGAGTGTTAGGATCCCCTGTGGAGAGCTTAGAACAGCAGAAGCTAGGCCAGCAAAGCATGCCCACCCTATAGAATTGGGGTTTCTATTGGGGTGCGTGGCTCCACAGTCCATGTAAATACATGCCTGTGATCTGGAACTCAGGGTCTAGAGATGACTCTAAAGTGGGTGGAGAGGAAATGCCAGAGACAATG